TTATTTTTTATTTATTTTTATTTTTATTTTTTTTAGAGAATATTTGTTTTTATATTTGTATGATCTCCATTTTCCTGATTAATTAACATTGAATTCTTAACAGCTAAACATTAAGTGCTATAGAACTACCAACCCAATACTTCGGTAAATCACCCAAAATGGTCGAGAAAGCTTTTGCATGCCACAATTTTGCGGCAGTATAAAGGATTATTTACCTTTACTTTCTTTCGTCGGCAAGAGTCACAGGCCTTAGAAACGCGTTGTCTCTTATAAGACATCTTTCTAATATGAATCAATATTGCTTTTTACAGAAGTAGTGATAATTCATTTTATACTTTGATGAAATGTATCAGAATTTATACGGACAAAATTCATAGAATGTTACATCTTACTTTAAAGTCCCTTTTCCCGTTATAATGTCGAGCTTTTGGTTTGGAAAGAGTTACCTTACTTGTCGTACTATGTATCGATCATGCTGCTTTAAGTTAAACCGTGCCAATCTGAATAATTTATAAGACCAAAAATGTCAAAGGTCCGATGTTCTATATGTTTAATAATAATTATCTACTAAACGTGAAAGATTTAAAATGGGCCAGATCAGGTCCATTTAACAAAAGCTTCTAGCTATCTATTAACTATCTATTAATTTATTTTTATTTTATATATTATCATTATTATTATTATTTATTTTACTTTATATATTTTATAAACTTTTTATTTTATTATTATTTTTTTTTTACATCATTTATTAAATTTCGGCTTGTCTACTTAATTCAGAGCCTATTTATTTTATATTATAATAGATTGTTATGCATACCTAAACTATACAATTAGCATTACCATTACGATAAGTTTTTAACATTACTGAGTAACTGGGGATATTCAAAATTTACCCATGGACCTACGACTAAAAATTCACCTAATGTACGTGGGTACGTAACGCAAATAAATTTGAATTTATAACATGGACTCACGCGCGCATATTTAAAAAAGAAACAACCACGCATGATACCACAATGCGGCGACGTAATAAAAACAATTAATATTAAAATATATTATTTATGCCAAGTCGTCGGCTATTTTGGGGCTGTACTTATGCTAGTGTAACTATCTCATATAAGGGAATTCACATTCAAGTAGAACCTACAAAAAATGTTTCACGACACTTAAATAATTATAACCTATTTCTTTTTTTTTTTTCTCATTTCATTTGCACTCATAATTCACTAACTATAATTATTTTGACCTTTCTCCATAGACGTCTATCGTTCATTCTTTACTTTGGTCACGTTTCAATCTTTTTTTCCATGCCGCACATTGTACAAAGAGATATTTGTGCATTTCGCTTTTATTAAATCTCTTTATATAATACAACCATTATTTCTGCACAATTATAACTTAAGTGCTCTATTTATTAATTGGTTTTCATCAGTGTCCAATTACCACATTATAACAATTCTTATCGGAATTGTTATGGAGAATTATTTAACGTGAATAACGATTATTTTTTAAGAAAGAATCGATAGTTATCGAGATTTATCAAATTTATCACAAGGAATAAACCAGATACTTAGTTCGTAAAGTAATTACGTATAGTACATAGTATAATAGTCAATAGCTATATATATAGATTGAATTTGATAACTTTTGAAATGCGAATATTTCATCGATTTTTTATAGTAATATATTTATTGATACAATGCATATGGATTGGGAGTGTTGAATGTGACCCCAAATCTTTAAGATTGTAATTGAATATTCTAAATGATTTTCTGTAATTGATTGTCACTAATAAATAACTATTTTCTAATTTTCGTTCTTTTTTCTCTTTTTTTTTTGTGTTTTTCTTTAGTGGACACAGTGCTGTTTTGATAAATAACAAGTAAGCAAGAATTAAAACTCTTTACGCGTAAAATTATTAATTAACCCTAATTCTAATTATTATTTTAATTAGATTATATGTATATGGAGGTAGAATAATATCAGTCCAAAAACCACCATCAAGTCTGACACAGAGCGATGACATTAATGAATTGATAGTGTTAGACATGACAAATTCATTCAATTCTTCAAACCCTCCGCTGAATGCTATTACTAGTAACGCGCAAAATATTTCTTTTCATGGTATGTCGACGGGAGGTTCTAATAATGATTTGATGGTTGTATGGGGTGGTGAAACAGTAAATTCCACGGATTCCATTTTATTATTATATTTTGACACAAAAAATCAACAAATGAATACTCAAAGTCCTTTGAATCCGCCTCCTGGAAGAATCGGACATTCAATGGTTACTAGAGTCAATGATTCTATGGTCTATATATTTGGTGGATATGACGGTACATCTGGAGAGCTGCTAGGTCAACCATCACAAACAGGCAGTTTTCATAACGAGTTGTATAAATTGGATACAAGGAGCAACAACATCAATTTTATAGCTATAACTAGTCAGTCGAGCACATTACCACAAAGGAGAGCACAACATTCGGCTACAATTCTGAGTAATGGAAAAATTTATATAATCGGTGGTCTAACTTTTAATGATACTATTGGACAGTTAGGTTTAGTTCCGATGTCTGAGATTGATATTTTTGATACCATAAGTGACAGTTGGTCTAAGGTATTTTATTAAAATTAGAATATAATAATAATGGTTTGTTAGCTTATTTGCATATTTTCTTTTACTGAATATTTTATTATTATACTTTGTTATCTATTTTATCTATTTGTAGGTTATAGTTGCATCTGCAAACCTACCTCAAGATCGAAGACTTCATGGAGCTGTTGGAAGTATGTTTAAATTTACGTTTAATTAGTTAATTTAATCATGTAGGTTATCATTAATTTAATCGATTTATTATTACTAATTAACTCTAAAAAATAGCATCTAGCAACAAGATTATAATATTTGGAGGTGCAGATTTAAATTTGCGAAAATATCAGGATATTGCTGTATTAGATACACTTAATGATAATTTATCTTGGACTAAGCCCACAACAAACGGAGATTTACCCTCAGCTCGTTATTCCCATACTTTTACTATAGTAGGAAACAATGCTATTGTTGCATATGGTATGTTTATAGTTATCGTCTAACAATTGTTTTAAATTTCACAAATTATTGACTTTGAACATTTTGTATTACTGTTTTCCAGGAAATACCGTAAGCATTTACTTTTTTATTTTATTTTTTTATTGAATGTATAATGTAAAGGGTATTCGTGGTGAATGGATAGTATCATCGGTCAGAATCAAGTAATTCTTATATACGATTCATTTCACTGAAAAGAATCAATTAGTGTGAAAATCCTTCGATTTTGATCATTACAAGGTACCTTTATTATAAATGTACCATAGTACAATGGAGAGACTAGTGATCCATCGAAGGTATCAAAGATGCAAAATAGAACTCTTATCACTGGGTCACGAGATATTGGCGTCCGAACGTCATATGTTGCATTCAAACATTTGATATCTTATTGCTCAGTAATCAAATTGAACGATCATTGCTTCACTAAATTTTTTCTGAAAGAATTGCTTTGACACATGATCATGTAAGAATATAAATATATCGATATAGTTGATTATATACCGATACAATACACATGAATGATATATTGTGCATAACATCATGTGTAGACAATTCTTTATCCTGGTTATGCATGGCGTAGAACTATCACGACACATCCTAAAGTATTTCGACATTGATCTTTAATATGAAGTTGATAATACCGATGTTACCTTCGCAAATCTGAGCGGAATTGGGTTTACATGAGTTTGTAAAATGCATCCTAAATTTTAGTGACT